TATTATATTATATTATATTATATTATATTATATTATATTATATTATATTATATTAATATTATTATCAATATTATAATAATATTAATATTATATAATTATGTAATATTTATATATTTTTTAAATATACTATACATAATAAATTATATTACATAAATGATTATTATCTCTTTTGTAGAAATTAATAATTAGGAATTTTATCATTAAGAAAGCGATAAAATATAAATAAATTCAGTCTAACGGGCGTTAGTCATTATTATTGCGCGCGGTATGTTTAGTGTTGAAGGAATCATCAAAAGCAACTTTGGAAACGCGACGTTAATTAACGTAAAATGATTCGTTTATCACTGATTATCATAATATTGACAAACGAAAACAATTTGGCTTTTCGTAACTATTTGAAGTGAACAGTGAAATCGGGACGACTAATTAATTTCTGTCAAGGGTTAAGGGCGAGGAAGTCGGCGAATACTGTGCACATTTGGAACCGTTTCTCGTCAGATCAATAGACCATCTACCGTCCGTGGAACCTCTCTGCTTTGACGTTCTCAGTTTCATGAATTTAACGCATTTCTTCCTCGTTGAAAGAGAATTATGCTTCTGAAAGTGGAACAAGAACGGTGTATGGTCAGACAAGTGGAACGAGACTGTCTACAATTGGGTGGTAAAATTTTATACGTTCTTCATCAAATGAAATGTCGATGAACATTTCTGAACCTTTCTGATCCGGGAAGTATAAATAAGAATGTATGATCGGACAAGTAGATTTCGATCGTCTATACCTAGACAAGTGGAGTAGGACTGCGTGTAGTCGGACAATAGGGTGTTCCGTAGTCAAGATAACTAGATTGGGCTCGTCCGTAATCAGGCAAGTAGATTAACCTCGTTTAAGTTAGACGAGTAAAGTGAAACTCATCCGGAGACAAGTAGAACGGGACGTCTTCGTGCGAGCCAGTAGATAAGATCTGTCAATGATCCGACAAGCGAGACAGGCTAATGTTAAATAGGTTGAGTGCGCGAATATCCATTCGAAAAATTCCCACAATTCCCACAAATTCAAACTCATTTAATATTAAAAACCGTGTCAGTCAAACTAATAGGATTTATATATTTTTTTACTTTATACTTATTAACCCTTTGCACTCGAAGCCATTTTCACTGTAAATCTAAATTAACTTATTTTTGACCTATAGTATTTCCATTTTATATGACAAAGTGTATTTTCATGCATATGAAATTGAGTCTTGTGGCTCATACAACAGTTAGACTTTTAATCTTTTTATATCTAAGCTTTGATAATATAAATATTATTTTGGAACGTGATGTAATAATTTTAGCGGTGCCTCAGAGTCACCACTCGAGTGCAAAGGGTTAAAATTACGAACGAACTTTTCAATTCAAACGAACGCTATAATAAATACAGCGAAAGGATTCAATAAATTCAGTCCTGTTATTCTTAGAAAAGTCAGTCATTTTTAGAACTCGGTAGGCTTAGTATTAATTGATAAAACCACGTCTTCCTAGACGTGGTTAAAAATACTAGATTGACACTTTCCTGTTCAAAAAGTCCTAACAACAGTCAGTTCGTTCAATATATTACAATAAAAATGAAATTCAAAAGTAACCGACACGGCGCTCAATGTGTTAAATATTTTTGCTATCGAAAGAATACGATTTCAACATTGCGAATAACAAATGACTTTCCCTCCCCGCGGAATAATTAAACCCCACTCAACGTGTTGTTTCCATTTGCCTCCATTTTTGTCTTCGTCGTTGAAAAGACCGCAAATTAATACGCGTTTCGCCGGAAAAAGGGGACGGCGAATCCTTTCGTCGGTGTTCCCCACGCAAATTTGTTTTCCTAAGCAATTAAGGCACGCCCGTGCATTTACCATTCGCGGCGAACGCAAGACAAATTAGCGGACTTTGCGCGACCCGCCACGGTGTTTGCAGCGGCCCGCGTGCCAACTATGAAACGCGTCTGCCATTTATTTCGCGGACAGAGTCGACGACAGCGGTCCCAGAAGTTTGGCCATTCATTTTCAGAAAAAAATTTCATTTGCTCATACCGATGGCCTAGCGAACGCGTGGTCGCCGGGGGAAATAGATTGGCACCTTTTGAAAACGGAATAATTTTTTACTAAACTACTAATTAATTCAATTATCAATTTATTGGATAATTATTCATTAATTCAACTGTACTAAAGGACTTGATTTTTTTCTTTTTTGGACGTCAGACTAATACAATAAATAATAAGCAAAGCACCGACTTCGATTAAATTTTTAAATCACGCATTTTTAAATTTTCGTTATAGCTTCGAATTAAAAAAATTGAGATAATATAATTTCTTAATTTTTATACCACTTAAAGCATCGACTTCGATCAAATTTTTAAACCACGCATTTTTAAATTTTCATTATATAGCCTCGAATTAAAAAAATTGAGGTAATATATTTTCTTAATTTTTATACCATTTTAACCAACTGCAATTTTTGCGAAAATTTTTTACTGATAATTCGACAATCTGGACATCTGAAAAAGAATCGTTTGGTCCAATTTTTAAAGAGTTATTCCGTTTTAAATGGTGTCAACGTGTATATTGACAATGAAGACACTTCTTGAAAATTGTAATTGGAAGCATAAGTATTAACAGTTTCAAGCTAACTATTTTTACCGAAAAAATACATATTGTTTCATTGATATTCTGCGGGATCTACGTATAATGTACTAAATAGAACGAACATTCAGGAATGTTGCGGCGAAGAAATTCGCGTTCGCCAAGCAAATACCGTGAACAGATGGTTCCCCGTAATCCCATTCTCGGCAGTGCAGCAGACGGTGTTAAAAGTGGGCTGCCCGAACGATTAATAGTACTTACCGATCTTGACACAAACGATTAGTTAACGTAACGCTTCCCTTTTCTGCTCCGAGCTTGACGAAGACTCTGCTGAATTCACGACTAAATCGCCTCGCTAGAGAAAAGCATCGAACTATCTTCAATAGTTAGATAGATAGATAAATTCCATCTTCAAAATTCTCACCAACAATAGAAGCACTATTTCTCCCTCGTTGCTCCTGAATTCTAGATTTTGCATCGAAACGGTAGAAACCGTCCACCGAGACGGTTCGTTTCAGTCGAACCGAAACAAAGAAAAGCATTAAACAGCTGATCCTATCTCAGAGATTCTCCCCAACAAGAGGAGCACTATTTCTTCTTCGTTATTCCTGAATCCTACATTTTGCATCGAAACGGTAGAAACCGTCCACTAAAACGAACCGTCTCAGTCGAATAAAAACAACGGACCACAAGGCAGCGCGGCGGTTCTAATGTTAATTAAGTTCCCGTACACGAAGCCAGAGGCTTCTCGACGCAGTAAACAATGTCATTGAGAACATCCGTAGCCGGTGAAACAGCATCTGGTGAATAATTCTGGTTAGCACGGGGTGGCCCGACCGAATCGTTAAAGGATAGAGCGAAGAGGGGCTAAGATATTTACCCGAAATTCGGCGGGCCGTGCGCAGGATAAACAGGGGCGGACTATCTGTTGATGAATAATGAATATCGCTGTGTGTCTGATTCCACGAGAAACGGTAACCAAGTGGGCCCGGGCGAGGCCGCGAGCGCTCGGAGTCACCGAGTCACAAAGTTGCTCGCGCTCTCCCCCTTCGATCCGCTGCCACCTGTCGGAAGGATTTTATCCTTGGGAGAATTGTCAAGCTATTCTCCCCGGTCGAGCCGCAGCGCGTGTTTCCACGGTTGTTTCTCGAGGCCGGCGAGCAATGGAGAGCGATTCACCGTTGCAAAATGTAACAGCTACGGGCTGGTGCTGGGTACCGGCGCCGGCCTCGTGAGAGAAACTGCCGGCGTGGTGCTGGGCCATTACTTCAGAAAACGACGAGAGTTCGTCGAGATGGTGGTGCAAGCTGGCGTGGGCGTGGGAATAGTACTCTTCAGCGTCGTCTACAGAGAGGCGGTCGGGTAAGTTATTACATGTATTTCCGGTGCCGCGACGAGAGACGCGAGAACACGCGACACGCGGGGACAACTGCCGCGACGCGACGCGCCGCGCCGATGCGAACAATAGGCGTCATCGGCCCGGAATGACGAGAGTGTCTGTTGCTTACGGCTGCCCGAGACTGTCTGAGGATCGCCGGAGCCACTCCAAGCTCCCTCGACGCGCGTTTGATTGACCGTCTGCGACCGTTCCTCGGTGAACCTACGCGGCTCTGTCGCACGGAAACTGCCGACGTTTTCTGATATTGCTCCCTTTGGTCGGCGAAAGTTTCGGGAATCGTTTCGGCTTGGATGGTACAACGATGACAGTGAAACGGGTTCACGGAGCTGAGGGGGGCTAGGGCTGGGTTTGATCGGGCGAGTGGAGAAAGTTGGGATTCTGGTAGACAAAGTAGAGAAATCGGTACTTGGTCAGTCAAGTAGAAGGGGAGGCATTTAGTCGGACAAGTGGAAGAGTGAGCATTTAGTCGGACGAGTAGAAGAGTGAGCACTTAGTCAGACAAGTAGAAGAAGGAGCACTTGATCAGACAAGTAGAAGAGGGAGCATTTAGTTAGACAAGTAGAAGAGTGAGCTCTTAATCAAACAAGTAGAAGAATGAGCTCTTGGTCGGACAAGTAAAAGTGGATGCATTTAGTCAGACAAGTAGAAGAAGGAGCACTTAATCAGACCTGTCTCTTATACACATCTAGATGTGTATAAGAGACAGGTAGAAGAATGAGCTCTTGGTCGGACAAGTAAAAGTGGATGCATTTAGTCAGACAAGTAGAAGAAGGAGCACTTAATCAGACCTGTCTCTTATACACATCTAGATGTGTATAAGAGACAGGTAGAAGAATGAGCTCTTGGTCGGACAAGTAAAAGTGGATGCATTTAGTCAGACAAGTAGAAGAAGGAGCACTTAATCAGACCTGTCTCTTATACACATCTAGATGTGTATAAGAGACAGGTAGAAGAATGAGCTCTTGGTCGGACAAGTAAAAGTGGATGCATTTAGTCAGACAAGTAGAAGAAGGAGCACTTAATCAGACCTGTCTCTTATACACATCTAGATGTGTATAAGAGACAGGTAGAAGAATGAGCTCTTGGTCGGACAAGTAAAAGTGGATGCATTTAGTCAGACAAGTAGAAGAAGGAGCACTTAATCAGACCTGTCTCTTATACACATCTAGATGTGTATAAGAGACAGGTAGAAGAATGAGCTCTTGGTCGGACAAGTAAAAGTGGATGCATTTAGTCAGACAAGTAGAAGAAGGAGCACTTAATCAGACCTGTCTCTTATACACATCTAGATGTGTATAAGAGACAGGTAGAAGAATGAGCTCTTGGTCGGACAAGTAAAAGTGGATGCATTTAGTCAGACAAGTAGAAGAAGGAGCACTTAATCAGACCTGTCTCTTATACACATCTAGATGTGTATAAGAGACAGGTAGAAGAATGAGCTCTTGGTCGGACAAGTAAAAGTGGATGCATTTAGTCAGACAAGTAGAAGAAGGAGCACTTAATCAGACCTGTCTCTTATACACATCTAGATGTGTATAAGAGACAGGTAGAAGAATGAGCTCTTGGTCGGACAAGTAAAAGTGGATGCATTTAGTCAGACAAGTAGAAGAAGGAGCACTTAATCAGACCTGTCTCTTATACACATCTAGATGTGTATAAGAGACAGGTAGAAGAATGAGCTCTTGGTCGGACAAGTAAAAGTGGATGCATTTAGTCAGACAAGTAGAAGAAGGAGCACTTAATCAGACCTGTCTCTTATACACATCTAGATGTGTATAAGAGACAGGTAGAAGAATGAGCTCTTGGTCGGACAAGTAAAAGTGGATGCATTTAGTCAGACAAGAAAAAGAATCAGCTCTTGTTTAGACAAGTAGAAGAGCAAACACTTAGTCAGCCAAGTAGAAGAGTCAGCAATTGATCGGACACGAAAAAAATCAGCACCTGGTCAAACAAGTCCAAAAAGTCAGTATTTAGTCAAAAAATAAACTGCATCCACTTTTCATTTTTGCTAAACAACGAAGTTGAACATTACAATTTATCCAATTAAATCTACATTTTATTTTTACCAAATAATAAAGTCGAATATTATCAACTGAACGAAACGTATCTTCTTTTCAATTTCGCTAAGTAATAAAGTCGCGTATAAAACGTTCGGTTCAATCGAATCCATTTTCCATTTTGGTGAAATAACGAAGTTGAATGAAACAGTATCGGATCAGGACTAAGAAAGCTGGCTTCTGTGTCAGAACAAAGGAAATCGCGCATTGACTGTTAAATCTATTTTTTCTGTAAAGCGCCCTTCAGTCGCTCGAAGTAATTGATTTTATTACTAGGGCAGAGTATAGACAGTGACTTAGCAATCTGAAAGAACCGTTCGAGAAGGGAAATCAATTTCCACGTAACGAACCGTCCCATCGGGAAGGTAACCATTACCATATGACACTTCAAAGGGGAACGTAGTTTCTAACTGGAATCGAGTAGCAATCCCGACGACGATATCGGGGGATATCTCTCCGCGGCAGGCTCTTTGTCGACCGGGGCTTTTTTTCGCTTCGAGGAAAATCGATTGTTTCTCAAACAGAGGCAGAAAAAACGATCTCCCCCAGATCGCCGGAACGGTGACATCAAAGGATCGCGAAGATCACAGAGGCGTTCTAATAAGTATCGGCAGACGATCACGTTCGTCGCGTGAATTATTCGTCGGCCGAAATCTCCCGGCTCGATCTCGCGAAACGAAATTGCTTTATCCGGACACGCGTGACACGCTCGGCGTTGATTAACATGACGCCGAAGACGGGAACAAAGAAACGTCTGTGTATCGAATATCGAAAGCTTACGCTTGTTTACATCGAATCGGCCGTGTTTGTCGACGTTAATTGAAAGCCAGAAAAAAACGTATCGATGCTGGAAACTGCGGGAGAAGTTCAACGAAAACACAGCGATTTTCGTGGGGAAAAAAATGCAGCGCAGTTTCGAACAGTTTCTGTTTTTCTAGTTTATTTGCAGTGCAAAGAAACGGTAATTGAATCTTGTCGATCGTAAATACCGCTCGCTGTTCCTTCTTCTTTTTATTGTTAGTCCGACCAGAGGCCTGCGATTTTTCGTTGTAAAATTCTAGCTTGTAATGCTGTTCCTTTGTGAAATGTTAGCTGCAATTGAGCCAGATAAAAATCCAACAAATCGGTCCAATATTCGAAATGGATCCCCACTTGGGAATTGGTTTACCGAAAACCCCGTGGAAACCGGTTAGCTCAGCCGCAAAGCGAAAGGCGATCCTAATTCCGGGAACCTAGAAAATCCTCAAACACGAATTACTTTTCCCGTTGCTCCGAATTGCGTTAATGGATTGATCACGTTCTCCTACTAGATATTATCGTCGATAACGAGCGAAGCACCGGTGCTTCCTTTAATTAAACGAACGAACGAACGATCGTAAATCCGATCGAGACAGTGCTCATAATTAAATTTCGTGGGTAACGCGGGAAATGCGGCGGAAAGAAACCGAAACCCTGGATCCCGATCGTACGAATCTAATCGGTAAATACGCTTCGTGGAGGCACGAAATCTCGAGCTTCGCAAAAACGAACAAAAATTCGAGCTTCGGAGATTTTAAGCGAAGCATCAGAATCATTCGAGATGTATGTACTTTAACGTTAGGTTGTGTTAGTATAAAAATTGAAAATTCGAACAAACGTATGATCATTATTTGTATACGGCAGCATAAGTTTAATGAGCGCAATAAAAGCAATATTGTTCGAATGGTACGTTAAATAATATTTAAATCGTGTGCAAAGTGTTCTCGTTTATAAATCATTGGCCTTTGATTATATTTATTAGATGCACAAATTAATTTTGCATTTTCTTTGTGGTTTCATTGATTATTTATGTAATCAATTATTTATATACAAGCATAAAACAGCTCACTCTTGAAAACAATCTCTTTTTATACATTCGACACAATTTGCAAGTAATTATTGGAAGCCTAATACGACGAGTAAAATATTCTCGTTTATAGATCATTGGCCTTTGATTATATTTATCAGATGCACAAATTAATTTTGCATTTTCTTCTTGATTTCATTGATTATTTATGTAATCAATTATTTATATACAAGCATAAAACAGCTCACTCTTGAAAACAATCTCTTTTTATACATTCGACACAATTTGCAAGTAATTATTGGAAGCCTAATACGACGAGTAAAATATTCTCGTTTATAGATCATTGGCCTTTGATTATATTTATCAGATGCACAAATTAATTTTGCATTTTCTTCTTGATTTCATTGATTATTTATGTAATCAATTATTTATATACAAGCATAAAACAGCTCACTCTTGAAAACAATCTCTTTTTATACATTCGACACAATTTGCAAGTAATTATTGGAAGCCTAATACGACGAGTAAAATATTCTCGTTTATAGATCATTGGCCTTTGATTATATTTATCAGATGCACAAATTAATTTTGCATTTTCTTCTTGATTTCATTGATTATTTATGTAATCAATTATTTATATACAAGCATAAAACAGCTCACTCTTGAAAACAATCTCTTTTTATACATTCGACACAATTTGCAAGTAATTATTGGAAGCCTAATACGACGAGTAAAATATTCTCGTTTATAGATCATTGGCCTTTGATTATATTTATCAGATGCACAAATTAATTTTGCATTTTCTTCTTGATTTCATTGATTATTTATGTAATCAATTATTTATATACATCTCTTTTTATACATTTGACACAATTTGCAAGTAATTAACGGAAATCTAATACGACGAGTAAAAGTTTCGCACATTTAATAGTTCGTGGAGTATAATTATTGCTTCCTGTTCCCCATTTTTCTACGCCGATGCGTAACGAGTCGTTATCGAAATCACCTCGAAATTTCTCTCTTCGGGCGGCCAATTTATTGGAACCGAGCGCGGCCTCGCGCTTCAACGAGTTGCTTTGCA